CACTCCCTCTCTGTGCTCCAGGCCTGCATGGAACATCTTATTCCAAGCTCCCCTGTCTGTCTGTTGGTCTCAGATGGGGTTTTCCTTGGGACAGACACATCTGCCTCAGAGTTTGGCATGAGCTAGGATGGGGCAGCAGCAGGGCTGGGTTGTGGTCAGTGAACCTGAAGAAACCTTCCCTGTTTGTTGGTCCTTCCCTTGGGGTCACAATAAAGGTCCTTATAAGTCCCCAAAACACCAAGAGGAGCAGAGAGCCCTCTGCCCTTGGAAAGACCTCAGACTGCAAATCTGTGTGTGACGGCACATCCCTGGACCTCCTCTCCCCGACAGCACAGGGTCCTCACTCAGAGCCAAGAGAAAAGCCATGTGGAGGGTCCAAGTAGCCATGGGGACCAGAGGGTCAGGAGCTGCTGTGGACATTGTCCGTCCCAGGCAGCCTGCCTTGTCCACAAGGGACCTGCAGACTTGTAATTTCCTGTGTCCCCCACTGAGGAGCCAGGGTGCACTCAACCCATCTTACGGAGAAGGAAATGGCTCAGGCAGGTGAGCAGCTTGCCCACCTGTCTTGGCCACCTCAGGGGCTAGGGGGTTGGGGGTCTTTCTAAAGGACCTGACTGGAGGAGAGACGTTCAAAGGGACTGGCTCTGGTGTGGAGGTCCTGCTGTCTTATCCCCTTGGGAGGTGACCTGGGTTCTAGGCAGGTCCCCCAGGAACCAGGAACATGCTGGCTGCCTGAGGCCACCGGGACCCCTGCAGCTGCTGACCCAAGCTTGCTTCCTCATTTTTCTGCAAACACAAAGGAACATTATTTGGTTAACATATATATTTTTTCAACAAATGCATATTGAACTCACTGGGATGAACCTGGCCCTTCCAGGAGCCCTTCCTAGTGGAAGGAAACAGGGAAGGGGCAGAGTAGGATGTGCCACCCCAGAGCCTCCCAGGGACAATGAGCTCTTTCTCAGTGGGGGATGCAGGGAAGATTGCAGGGAGAAGATGACATCGAAGATGGGATTGGGTCCCTAAAGTCAAGCAGGCTTTGATAGGAAAAATGGGATGATCAGGAGGCATTCCGGGCAGGGGGCAGACAGATGGGTCAGGGCATGGCCCAGTAGAGTAATTTGCCCAAGGGAACCATCTCTATTAGATGATGCAGGGCTGAGGCTGGCCAATGGCAGGATGACATTTGGGAACGTCCAGCTAAGCAGTGTGGCCCTGCCCACAGACCGTGGTGGCCACTGAAGTTTGCAAGGGAGATGAGTGACATGGGACAAGGCAATGTGTCAGCACTGGGGGAGGAGCTGTCTGGCTGGCCCTGGCCGGGGTGGGAGACGACTGGGGTCTATGGCTGAAGCTGAGGATGGACATCTCTCTCAAAGCAAAGAACCAAAACAAAGAAGAGAAGAGTGTCAAGCAGGGCTGGAGGAAGCTCATTTCCTTCTATGTTAGGGTCAGAGACTGGTCTGCATCTGGGTTAACTACCTTGAGCCGAGTGTCTTGGGGTGCCTGTTTCTTTCTCTGGAAGAGCATGCACGAGACCCTTATAAAAAGCCCAAGTGATAAAATATGCCTGTTTCCCATCAAATCAGCCCTCAACAGATTGTCTGCCCTCTCCCCCATCACATCATCACATGCATTATTTAATTTGTTTGAGATGGAGTCCATTTCATAGGATATATAAATCCATGGAAATTTATTAGGTCTTGACAAGAGTTATTGAATGTTATATTAAGTTTCTCAAATTGGCCAGTGTTGGATGGCTTAAAAATTATTCATTAACGCATAACATTAATACCAATAAATTGCATGGTATAGTTATGAACTATCCTTGAAAGTCATTAAATATGCATATCAGGCAATAAATCTATTCTCTCCTATGAATCTGTTCTGAATCATGGCGAGTTAGGGCTTAGCTAGTGGTAGTGGGGGTGGGGCTAGGCTATCATTGAGTGTCACCAGGACCTGCGGGTACATGGGAACCCTCCTCAGACTTTAGCAAACAAAATCTACCAGCACAGCAAGAGGATGACACTCATGCGGGTGCATGGAAATAGAGGCCAGTTCCTTTCCATTCCCATCATTCCTGCTGATGAAATGGGAAGGAGGCTAAATAAGACAGACCCACTAGGTTTATAATGTTAATCAAAAGAGCAAAAATGTGAAAGCTAGAGAGATGTAGGTGACAGTTTCTGCTCCAAAAAGATACGTTCTGGAGTCATCGCCTGTATCGCCACCTGTTGTCAAGATAATGGCTGCCATTTATTGAGGGTCCACACCTTTTCAAAAATTAGCTCACTGGATCCTCTAGACACTTGGAAGGTAAGTGCTTTACTCCGTCACAGTGGTCAGTCACCTTCCCACGTTACTGCCTGATTCCAAGCTTCTCCTCGTTTTATGACCCCGCACTGTCTCTGTCCCAGAACTCACCTCCGTGATAGATCTTTGGAGGCAGAGGGACATTAGCACTCCTCTCGCTCTGAGAGTGGTCGCAGCAACGGCAATTAGTCGGGGTGCCTGTCCCCACCCGTCCTGGCTGATGAAGATGGCTCATGCTTTTGGGCTGGGGCTTGTGCAGTTCTGTTGTTACATATTTTGGGTCACATCCAAGGTTGTAATTTAGTCTCATCCTGCATTCCTCCAGTGACGGACGACTTTCCGCCTCCCTAGGCCCACTGGCAGACTGCTTGGCTTATTAGAGTCTCGTCTCTTAATCTGTGCAGGGGTTTAGGGAATTTCTTGTCATTCTCCACACATACTCTCCAGCTGGCCACCAGAGGGCAGGGTGTCCCTGGGATTGGGGGAGACCCATGGACCCCTGAGGCGTGGGTTCTAGAGCTTTCTTTGCTACTGAAAACCTCCATGGTTTCAGGCAGGCGACACCTCCTGGGTTCCATCTTAGTAAAATGAGGGTGCTGGCCTGGACAACTTCTGCAGTGCACCCCAACTTGGAGAGGTCTTGGGGCTGCTTCTAAAGGGAGCACCCATGAAACAAGGTCTCTTGGGGATGCAAGGTCAGAAAACCTCACCAGCTGTGTGATCTCCAGCACGTCAGTGGTCTTTTTTTGGACCCGCTTAGACCTCGGCAGCTGTCCATCCTTTTCTGTCCCTGGCCTCAGTGGCGTGGTGGGATGTGCCTGGGAAGACTACCAGCTTCCGTGGCATATATGCTCAGCAGGGACCGCCTCCTGCATCCACACTGACGGCCTTGGTTCATTGTAGCCCTTCAGCCCACTGGGGCTCAGGCAGCCAGATGTCTTCTGCTTTCAGGGAGGCCACATCGATATTAGAGGGTTGAAAGCAAAATCCTAGGTAGCCTGCTCTGAGAGAGAGAGAGAGAGAGAGAGAGAGAGAGAGAGAGAGAGAGAGAGAGAGGAGACAGAGAGAGGCAGAGAGAGAGAGAGAGGGAGAGGTGAGCTGGCCTAGCAATAAGGAAGCCACTGAATCACTTCCATGGCTTTGTGACATTCATTCATCAGGGAATGAGACACAGTGGCTGCCTCGTTGTCTACCTGGATCGTGGACTTTGTACTCTTCAAGGTGGAGACTGTCTTTTTCACCTTCCTATGACCACCATTTGGCACACAGCAGACACCTGGTAGCCGTGTGTTAGACGAGTGATTGCAGGCCTCCATGCACAGGGAGCCCTAACACCACCCAGGGGCGCAGAGGGACGGGCACCTGCAGACGTGTCTGGTTCTGAGGTCCTGTCCCGTAAATGGGGGCTGGATGAGCTGCTGTCTGCGTCCTTCCAGGTCTCTTGGAACTGGTCTTCTGGTGGTAGCGTTCCCTTCATCGAGCCTCCACTATGACATGGACTCAGAGGCCCATGGCAGGTGAAGAAAGGAGGACCCTGCCGGTGTCTTGGGCAGGCTTGTTTGCAATCAGTCATTCATTCAACAAATAGGCTTTTCCACTCATGACCCCACTAAACCCTCCCACAACACAGGCGAGGTGGGGGCACTTTTGATACCTCCATGTTCCTATGAGGGAGGCTCAGAGATTGAGTGAATTGTCCAAGTGCTGAGCAGAATCTGAACCCAAGACTCCCTATAGAATGTGGTGGAGGTGGCCAGGCATGAGCAGAGACCATGTGACTTGGCCTTGCTGTCAGCAGGGCTGGGCTGGGATTTGAATTTTGGTCTCCCAGCCCCTGGCCAGTGCTACTGTAGGGGGGCTTTGCTTTCCCTTTAATTGAAACCTCACTGCGACAGATTTCTCCCTTTCCTCCATCCCGCAGAGGAGTCACGCAGACCCGCGAGACCACATGCATTGTGCAGTGGCGTGGGCCCCAGCAGAGGTGTAATTTCCCTTCTTTCAGCTGTGTTCCTAGGGCAGGCAGTGGGCAAGGGCATGGAACTCTCTCACAGTGGGCAGGCGCACAGCCCTGGCTGGCTCAGAGGACCAAGGTTTGAAGGCGGCTCTTGGCTGTTGTTTGCTTTGCAGGGCAGTGCACCTGCTCCTCCCCTGCACCCCAGGCATGCTGGGGAGGATGCTGGACTTGATTTCATTGGTGGGCAGCAGCTGGACTCAATGCTACTGTGTTCTTTGCTGGGAGAAGCCACTCGAAGCCTCCTCAAGTCTGAATGATGGGGGAGCAACCTGGGGTGGCACCACCCACACTCTCTGCTGGGGTAGCCAAGGGACTTTCGGCTGGCAGGAGGGTGCTAGTTTCTCTCAGGTCCCCCATTGCTATTGGCACAACTGCCAGGGCTTTGTCTGGGTCCTGCAGTCCTGGGAGCGTCAGGGCAGCAAGGGCTGTGTTTGGAGAGAGAAACCAAGGCCTCTGGGAGAGACAGGCAGCTCCCGAAGTCACATGCCAGCAAGGGGCACAGCTGGGATTTGAACCCAGGTGTTCTTTTTTTAAAAAGCATGGTAAAATACACATCACACAAGTTTTAACCATTTGTAAGTTACAGCTCAATGCCATTAAGCACATTTATGTTGTCATGCAACCATCAGCACCATCCGCCTCCAGAACCTTTCCTTTTCACTCTCCCCAGCTGCAGTCGGCGCCTGCTGAGCATGAACTCCCTGTCCCCCAGGAGCCCAGGCATTTCCATCTCAAGCTCTGTGCACTTCCTTCACTACTTGCCACAATGGCTTCCTTTTCTGTAGAAGCAGCTCCTGGAGAAGAAACAGAGCCTCACTGGGGTAACTTTTCTTGGCAGGAGGGAGAAGGGGAGATTGAAGACAAATAGGAGAGAGTTTTCCAGGTGGCCTGAGCGTTGGTTAATCCAGCCCTTCACTGTCACCCTCTTCCCCCACTAAGCTGGAAGTAGGGATGAAATTAAAAAATCACTTTTCTTATAAAAGGAGACGGTCGAGTATGTGGCCAAGCTGCCTGGGAGCTAGAGTCTGGCAGGGCCTGTGTTCCAGCCTTAGGATTGGGCAAGGAGACCACAGCCTTCCCAGGGAGCATCTGTCTCCTGCTGTACAAGTGATTTCAACTCTGTTGCCCTCTCCTGGTGTGGAAGGAAACTCAGGGGAGAATTGGCCGGCGTTGGTCTCACTGTGACTGTGGTCAAGGTGCTCTCCACCTGTCTGCCCATTGGTCACAGGCCCTCTCAGATGCACCATATTTTACTCCAATTCCTGGCTTGTCCATTAAAGCTAGAAATGTCCAGCTCTGTGTTCACTTACGACTAACATGTTGGAGCCTGCTAGCGTCTGTTGAGCCCCGGCAAGCTGCCAGGTACCTCCTGGGCACTTACTCGTCCCCCCACCTCCTCACAGAGCCAACTGAGAGAGAATGACAGAGACCACTGGACTGCTGGAAATACGTGTTTGAATACTGTTCCACGATAAGGGTTTTGCTTAACCATCCATTCTTGGGTCAGGAGGACCCATTAGCATGCTGCTTGTTCATTTCCGGTGCGCTGACTCATCCCAAACCATGCGATGATAACCAGCACCCTTTGGTGTTTACAGAACGCTGGTGCATATCTGCCCTTTCCATCTTGAATCAGCTCAGCGGGGAAGGGTGGGTAATTGCCAACGGTCAGTAATTGGCAGAGCAGACACTCAAACCCCGGCCTGACATCAAACCCTGAACTTCCTGTTGCTTTTTCCTAGAGAGCTCTGTTCTGTTTAGGCTGGGCTCATAATCAAAATAGAACCTAGAGTCAAATCAAAAAGGAGGTCACCCGAGGCCCCATTTGGGCCAGGATGAACCCCCAAACAGTCGGGGGGCAGAAGGCACTCCTGGTGTTCCAGCCAGAGACGAATGGCACTCTGAACAGAAGTCTTCAACAGCAGGTCCGAGATACTGATGGACTCAACGGAATGTCACTTCTGGGATGACGGTCCAGTGGGGTTGATCAGAGGTGGAGGGAAAGAGATGTGACAAGAAGATGGGACTGAGGAATCCATTTTTGGAAATTAACAATAAATTTAGCTCCAAGAAAAGTTTCCTTTATTGTGTATGATACCTGCTGCAACAAGCAACACACATCGTCGGAGGGGGTGAGTTCTGGTTCCCATGGTGGGCTCCGTGGTGGCCCAAGATCTGAGCAAGAGGACAAGGTGACAGGTGGCCAGCATGCCCCTCCTCCTTTGCGTGCAGAGTCCACATCTCTCCTCTCTTTGGGACTTTAGTATCCCCATCGGAAAGAGGGGATACTTCCCTGGTCCTGAGAAAATGCTACAAAAAGTGAAGGTAGTTAGGACCGCTGGGCCGGGGACTGGCTGAACCTCCAGGCTTGAGTCCCCAAACCACTGACTGGCCTCGGGTAAGTTGCTCACCTTCTCTGAGCATAAGTTTCTTCCCACAGAGGAGGGGATGGTCGCCTTTAGTTTTCACGTTCTGTGACCCCCCTGGAATATGAATCCCTATTCAACTCCAGAAGGTGTGGAGGCTTCTCATAATTTTAAAACACATAAGAACAGGAAACTTAATACAGAATTTTTAAAAACCCAAGCAGAAGACACCAAACAACAGACACGCCTAAGTTGAATGTGACTGCAATTGAACACTCAATTTATTTCTGAGCTTCCTGGCAGCTGAGACAAAAAGGGAAACCTCTTATATTTTCTGATAAAAGGATGCTTCAAAGTCTCCATAGGAGACAACTTCCTGGCACTGGAATCTATTTGGAGTGTTCGTATCAAGGGCAGAAAGAACAATGTCTGGCTGGAATTTCATTCATGATGCAGAGCTGTTTTAAAAAATGGGTCTGTTTCATTTTGCTCCTTTATAAAATCTAAGGGCAAAAATACTACATTTTATCCCAGAGAAGGTAGTTCTGTAGTTAAAATAATTTAGTCTATGTGTGTTACAGACAAAACTGAGGCCCAATTAATGCTTAATGAATTAACAGTCCACCTTGGTGAGGAAAAACATTGAGAATCACAGGAATGAACAGTTGTTACACTGTGTCTTACAAACGTCAGATGTCTCAGTGAGGCTGGGGCATTTCTGAGCTGTGACGGTTTCATGTCGAGATCCTCCGAGGAACGTTTGTTATGTCATTGAGACTCTGTGTCTTGGTGCTTAGGACAGTGCCAGCACATGGTGAAGAATAAATATTTGTAGTGTCATATGTTAGGTTCCAGACACAGATAATTCAGGTCAGAAAGGATCCAAGAAAATGTCTTGTCCAGTGCCCTCCTTGGACAGATGAAGATGCAGAGGGCTGTCACGATCTCACTACCCATCCCCTAGGCCACCATTCTGCCAAGTCTTGGTCCCCTGTCCTTTTGGATGGCCAGTGTGTTTGCGCAGTTGAGGAACTCAGTCTGTCTTCCCCCGCCTCCAGAGATCCACATGAAAAGGGATGGTGATGACTTAGTTACGGGCTCCCAGAACACAGAGAGCAGCCAAAGGCATCTGACCAGAACCCAACAGCCCACTCCTGCTCGAGGTGACAGCCCAGTGAAATCGTTCACTGCAGCGAGCATTTGGGGCTCTGACTTACCACCTGAGCAGGGTGAACTCAGCAGGGTCTGTGGGCCTCTGGGGTCAGCATGGGTTTTTGCTGGAGACCCCACATGGGAGCATAGAGGGGCACTTGCCTGTTCTTCTCACACAGGTGAGGGGCAGGGTGGGCAGTAAACTCCCTTGGGACATCAGCTGCTTCCGGATACTGTGGCCTCCTGGCTAGCGGTGAGGCTACAAGCTCAGCCCCAGTGGGTGGGAGCCTCCTGTTTCCGCCTTTCATGTTCACTCTTCTTGTTAAAGAATGTTATTCAGTGCTTTTCTCTAGGCTGCACTCTCACAGCTCCTCTGGCCTTTCAGGATGACTGCCCTGCCAGCCCATGACTCTGTTTTACAGCTTCCTCTTGGCTTACTCCATCTTCTCTTGATTTCCAGAAGCTGTGGGTTCTGGCCGGGGACACCTGCCTAGGAGAGGTGCCTACATTTGCCATGTCCTGTTGGCTCACAGGGAGACCTTGCATCTACTAATGTGTAGAATGAAATCCATCATCTTTAATTAAATCTACTCCTGGACAGTCCTTTTCCCGGAGTTCCTTTGGCTATCACTGGGTGTCATTCCTAAGCAGATCTATCTTGGTCTGAGAACGTTGGAACATAATTTCTAAGAGTCTGAACAGCCTCCAAAAGCAACACGATGGGTGGCAAGCTGGCAGGTTGTGGGCGTGATGGAGACTTTCAGGAACCACACATCTAAGTTGGAGTTTCTCAAAGTGGCAGCTAAGATCACCTGCTTCAGGATCCCTTCGGTGTTTGTAAACAATACCAGTTCTCAGGCTCAACCTCTGACCCAGGAAACAGAATTTCTAAGGGTAGTTTTTGAGAATCAGGATTTTTGTGACATAAGACTGTGATTCTGGCACACTCAGGTTTAGGACCCTCTGCTCCAGTCTCCTAAGGAAATCTCTAAAAGTTTTTTTTTTTAATTTTTGCCCCTTCTTGAACTTCAACTTCTAGGTGGAAAATAGGTCTTCATTTAACATACTAAATTGGAAGTTATGAATAAAAGGCTAGCCATTCCTGTTATGGAGAGGACAGACTGCTGGAGAAGTTATCAGCTGTTCCGAGTGGGCAGGTGGCTCCCTAGTCCCAGAGCTCCTGGACTGCCCAAGCCCTGTGCCCAGAAAACTTTCTCTCTCATTCTCTTCCTCCTCTTCCTCACAGTACCCGATTTCCTTTTCCTTATACTCTGCCATCTCATTCTCTTTCTCATTCTGGTGGTTATATCAGATAGGGTGAGGCAGAAGAGAGGTAATGCTCTTGAGCTGGTAACTGGGGAGAAGGTAATACAGAGGTGGGTAAACACCGAGGGCTGGTCCCCTGGAGCTAGGGACAAACGTCCCCGGCCTGGAGGACAGGAGGAGGGAGGGTCGTTGCAATCCAGAATGAGCTCTGCAGAGGAGCCCACGACATTGGCTCAACTCAACCCAAGGGAGCCATAGGCCAGCCCTGAGAGCATAAAGCCAGGGAGAGCATCTGGAGGGAACTGGAAGATGCCAGCCCCATAGGGAATGCAAAGAGACACATGTGCTATTGATGCATTTCACTCATTGATTAAGATGCTAATTTCTCAGTTCTCTAATTTTTTAAATGGGTGAGCTGAGTCCAATCTTCAGAGGCACTTTTCCCTTTGGCAGAGAGAGAAGTGGGGGCAGGTGATGAAGGATGGAGGGGAACCGGGAGGCCTAGGAGTGGTGGGAGAACTGGTTCAAACACCAGCACAGACCGGATGCAAGGCCGGCAGTGGAGCGGCAACTCCCACCTGCCCAAGCTCTAGGATCCAGGGGGACAGACCCTGGGTACCAGGGGCAGCAGTCACAGGGCCCTTGCTCGTGGGAGAGGCAGGAGAGTGCTGTGGGGCTTCTGCCTGTCTGCAAGTGGCCTCTGAGCCTGGAGGGCGCCGTGTGAACCGAAGTCTTCTAGGGCTCTGGGGCTCTGTACAGTGCTGAGCCAAGGCAGCCTGGAAACCCTCCTCGCACTCTGACTTCAGTAGGCTTATTCCACCTGTGCCCACCACCTGAGACCTCACCCCCCCACCAGGAGCAGGATCCCTGGAAAGCAAATGCAGAGGCCTGTCGCTGTGGACCCTCTGCCCCACTTTCTTGCTGCTGAGTGCAGAGGCTGGTACCAGCGCGTCACCACGGACCCCTCCACCTTGCTTCCTTGCTGCTCCAGTGTAACCCTCCCCACCTCTTGTCACCTTGCCCACTTCCTCTGGTCGAGCTTGGCCTCCAGCTCCAGGATGGGCACTCTGGCATCAGCCTATTGCCCTAGACCAGGCCCCCCACCCTCCCCGACCTCTGCCTTGGTGCTGCCTGTACCGGACATGTGGTCTTGGCTCCTATGTGGCCTCTATGGGCAGCCCTAGCTTTCCAGCTCCCACCACCTGGCGTAGCCCCAAGAAACATCAGACCCAGGGGCCAGGCGGTTCAGAAGGGCTAGAGCAAGACGGCACTGAGGCTCTCTAGGAGGCGTGCGAGTTTCCCACTGCAGCTTATCATGCACCTACAGTCAAGCAACTCAGCTGTCATCTTACTGGATCTCACAACTGCCATTGGAGGGGTGTGTTGTTACTTAGTTTACATGGTGAACCTATGTCACAGATGAGTAAACTGAGCCCCAGAGAAGATGAATGCTTTGCTTGTAGTGCACTGCCAGTGAGTATGGGGAGGAGGGGTCTCTATGTCAGAGGATCATGCACTTTGTCATGCAGACCCGTTATGCAGGGATCTTGCTGGAATGCGGGCTGACTCAGCAGATAAAGGGGTGCAGTATCTGCCTTGCCAACCAGCTCCTGGGTGATGCTGGTTGAGTAGTGAGGCTCTAGACCCATGGTTCTCAAGCGTGGCTGCGCTTTATAATTGCCTGGGGAGATTGAAAGATGGCTGAGGCTGAGTCCCAGCCCCAGAGATCAGAGTGCCACCTGTGCATTGGAAGTACTCTTCAGGTGATTCTCATAGGTGGCCAAGGTTTAGACCATGGCTTTTCAGATGTCAGTGTGCACCAGGATTCCCTGGAGTGTTTGTTAAAACCCTGATTCCTGAGCCCCATCCCCAGAGAGCCTATTCTGGAGGTCTGAGGGCAGGGAGAACTTGCATTCCTAATACATTTCTCAGTGACGCTGATGGTGATGGTATAGGCACCGTGTTCTGAGAGGGAAGGCTGTACACACCAGTGGTTCAGACCAGCGGCATCAGCATCATTTGGGAACTTTCTAGAAATGCACATTTTTGGGCCCTGTCCTAGACATACTGAATTAGAAACTCTGCGTTTCTTAGTCACTGTTTCAGCAATCCTCCTCCAAGTAGTCTGGGTGCACCTGAGGGTTGAGAACTGCCATGCTAGGCCTGGCATGGTTGCACCTCAGAAGGATCCCAGCTCCGTCTCCTCAGCCCAAGCTGGAAGGTGAGCTTGGTACCCTTTAGGAATTGTGGCATTTGGGAGGTTGAAGGCTGTTCTTTGGTTCACAGGGGACAGGTGGCCGACACCTGCTGGGTGTGACAGGAATGACGTGGACTCAGCCTGGACCAGATGAATCACGAACTCCTCTCCCTTGCGTGAACGGTCGGAAGCAAGAACATCTGTTCCATCATTCTCACTTTCGTGTTTTGTGCGGAATAAGAGTTAAACTGCCAAATCCTGTCAGACAGCCGTCTGTTGCCTCGGCGACACCCTGCAGCTGCCGGAAGGAGAGAGATGGCGCTTCCAGGCACCAAGCCTTCACTCTCCAGAGTCTCAAGTGGGCTGTTTGGTGTCTTGGTTTTCTGTCTGGAAAGAGCGGAATAGGGAGTCCCTCCTGCAGGGCCCCTGCATGCCTGAGCAGCTCGTGTACAATGACTGAGAATGCTCTTGTGTTCCTCCACCCTGCCTTTATGCAGCAAAATGTCCTCTGCATGCCAGTTGCCATGCTTAGGTGCCAGCGGTCAGCAGCAAACCAGGCAGACAGCTGCTCTAGGTTATGTCTCAAGTGAGAAAGTCTGTGGGACCCCCAGATCCCTGGGGGATCGTGCTGCTCTGGGGAGCCTTCTGCCATTGCTCCTGCATCTCTGTAGTGAGAGGATTGAGGGCGCGTGCCCCACTTGCATCCATACCCACAGGGCTGGTGTACTTGTCAGAGCTCAGATGAGCCGAACTTGGACAGAAGTGGTCTTTCTCAGAACTGGGAAGGGAGGACTTAAGATGGACACCTTTCCACAGGACCCAGGAGACCTGCCATCCATGAGGCCAGAGCTTGTTGTCAGTCAGATTCTGGGGTCTCGGCGATGTGGTTTCCTAAGGGGATAGCAGAGAGCCCAACAAGCAGGCTTGTGGTCCAGTCTAGTTGGTGGCCCTTGGCCAGTCCCTTTAAGAGAGAGGGAAGGGAAGGTGATGTAAAGAGGAGAGCTGGGCCCCTATTAGAGGAGGCCTGTAAACACATGTGCATGGGGCTCTGGACTCCGGGTTTAACAGGCCCTGGAGTGCTGGCTGGGCAAACTAAGTCCGAATGAAGTTCCCATAGACGTGGGCTATGTCAGCGGAAGGGCTTTAGAGGGGTGCTGCAGATTTAAGCCCAGGACTCATTCCCTGTGCACCAAGAGCAGAACTGGCAGCAAGAGTAAGCCCAGCTGCAGCTGCTGGGGAAACCGAGGGACAAGGGGCCCCTGCCCTGGTCAGGTGACTCCAGAGTGGTCAGGCAAGAGCCTGCGGGTGAGGTCATGTGACTGCGCCAGCAGCAGCTGGGACAGACAGGTGCTGATTATTGGGAGGACTTCAGTGGACAATTTTATTTTTATTTTCAAGAGCAGGATGTTGTCCAAATGCCCCGTGAAGGTTGGGAAGCCATTTTCACTGACTGAAGTGACCCCAACATGCTGTGGGTGAACTGGGCTCCCCTTGGAGAATGGTATGTGTCATGGTCGTTTCAGGACCTGAATGTGGGAAATGCAGGGTCCTGCCATGGAGGGACGTCACTCCTGAGTGGTTCTGAGCCCCCAAGTCTAAGTGCCAGTCCAAAGAAGGCTCCATGTCATCAGGAGAGCCCCGAGGGGTTCAACCTGCTTCTGTTTTGCAAAACTGAGCAGACAGGTGTCCTGGAAGCCCCAGGGAAGTGTGGGGATGTTGGGTTTCTAGAACCAACCATTTATTTCTCCCCCATCCATGGTCCAAGCAAGGTGTTCCCCGGGATACAGGAGAGGCTTAGGCAGCCCCTGCCCCGGGGAGGTAGGTCAGAGGAGTAAATGCAAGACAGGACCCCAGAAGAAGGTTCTCAGAGCTGAACAGCCCACTGAGGCACAAGGTCTTGAGTGGTACCCTATGTTGGTGGCCCAGGGCTGAGAGGCTGATGTGCAGTCCCTGCCACCACCCTCTGCAGTGGGGATTGTGTTGTTCATTTTATAGACGTGGAAATGAAGGCTCAGAGCAGTGAATTAACTTGCCTAGTGGCACTCGGCTGTGAGCTGGGATTTGAATCCAGGACTGACCTGAATTCATTTCATTCATTGATTTAGCAACTACTTAGGAAGGGCTGGTTGCCTGGAATCTCAGCACTTTGGGAGGCTGAGGTGGGAGGATTGCTTGAATTCATGAGTTCAAGACCAGCCTGGGCAACATAGGGAGACCCTGTCTCTAAAAATAATCAAAATTAGTTGGGCATGATGGCATTTGCCTGTGGTCCCAGCTACTTGGAAGGCTGAGGATGGAGGATTGCTTAAGACTGGGAGGTCGAGGCTACAGTGCACCATGATCATACCATGGCACTCCAGCATGGGTGACAGAATGAGACTCGATCTCAAAAAAAGGGAAGGGTCTTCTTTATGCCAGGCCCTGTTTGAGGCACTGTGGATTCATGCTGAGCAAAAATTCCTGCCCGTATCATCTGATCATCCCAGTGACAGCAGGAAGACTGGAGACAGCTATCAAAGCAAAGCCACATCTAGGGATACCCATGGAAGTGGCCGTGCAAAAAAGTACAGCAGATAAGGGAGGTGGAACATTTGGGGTAGGCCTGCTCTTTTAAACAGGGTGGTCGGGAAAGGTCTCGCTGATACAGTGATGTTTTAATAGACGGGATGGCTGGTGCAAAGGCCCTGAGGTAGAGCAGGTCAGAGTCTCCAGCTACCCGTGTGGCAGCAGCCACACGTGCGGGGGTTTGTGGTGGAGAAGACCAGCGGGGAAGTGAGGCCTGAGTTAAGACTGTGGCTTGGGCTCTGAGCTGGCTGCTTCTGGAAGGGTGAGAGGAGAGAAGCCAGATGTGCTTGCTCTGGCACTGTTGGGTGGTCAGTCTGCTGACTGCAGGGGCTCTGGGCAGGAGCTGGGGAACCAGAGATGATCAAAGGACAGGGTCAAAAGACAGTCACTACTTAGAGATTCGAACAGGGGCTGTCACTGAGACCTACCCAGCTTCAACAACAGGTGGACCAGGCTGGGCATGGTGGCTTATGCCTGTAATCTCAGCACTTCGGGAGGCTAAGGCAGATGGATCACTTGAGGTCAGGAGTTTGAGACCAGCCTGACCAATACGGTGAGACCCTGTCTCTGCTAAAAATTAACCAGGTGTAGTGGTAGGGACCTATAATCCCAGCTACTCAGGAGGCTGAAGCAGGAGAATTGCTTGAACCTGGGCAGTAGAGGTTGCGATGAGCCGAGATAGTGCCATTGTACTCCAGCCTGGACGACAGAGTGAGACTGCATCTCAAAAAAAAAAAAAAGAAAAAGAAAAAGGAAAAACCAGATGAACCAGAATATCAACCTAAACATGGAACAGAGGAGATAAGTGACATCAAACCAACTTTCCTTCCAAGTTCCAAAAGATGTAAGACATCATAAATAAACAGAAATACATTCATGCCTTCTGGCGGAAATCCTCCCTGGGCTGCAGCTCTGGGAAGAAGGAAGACAAGTCCTACCTCTCAGAGCACCGGGGGACCTCGCTCTTGGGGTTCCCTGCATCCTGACTCCCAGCCTAGCTTGGCACAGTGGGGCTGTAAGTCGGGGGCTCCCCAGAGCGGGTTAGGTGTCAGAGTTGTGCTGTGCGACTTGAAAGCACCTGTATTGTGTGACAAGATTATGTCTGGGGGTTGGGGGAAGCACTTAAACCTACTTATGGTTTGGGTTTTCTTCTTAAAAAAGATTGAAAAGAAGTCCCCTCTGTGCTCTTAGGAGGGGCCATTTCCTCCCACTCTGTGGCACCCTCTGAAAGTCATGATTAGGCCAAGACGCTTTTCATTGCACTTCAAAGAACAATGCACAGTAAGATCAGCATTTTAAGTGGAGAAGGTACTTTCATGCCCTCCCCCTGAATAAAAGGGATAGCTTTTGCTCTGGAAGGATGGTGTGTAATTAGCCATGCATTGTGTTGGGTGAATACTAAATGTCCCCTTTTATTGTCAATGAAACAATGATTCTTGGGGCCCTCGGGTGGTAGAAGGACCAGCCACTCCCACTGGGCTCCCTTCCCCCTGGCGACTTTCCCCTTGGAAGGCAGGTTCACTCCTGCCTGGCATAAGAACTGGGCGACTGTGGACAAATGAAGTCATGGAGGCTCTGCGTTAAAAAGCTAAAAGGTGCAAATGAGGGTTCAGAATCCCATTTTTCCAGCTCACTGGGCTGCAGTTGCCTTCCTCTCCCACCGTGCAGTGTTGCCAGGAAGCTGGCAGTGTGCTGGATCTGTGCCTGCCACCCATGTGGGTGGGGCCACGTGGAGGGGGTTTTGCCCAAAAAGACAGTCCTGAGTTTGTTTTTAAGTTTCTTTATTCACTCATCAAGTGTGGACGGTGCGTTTACTCTGCAAGCCAAGGCTGGGCCTGGGTTCTGGCTTTCAGCAATGCCACCCCAACTCCTATTTCCCCAGCCGCCAACCTGCGAAGAGGACAAGGACGCCAGGCCCAAGCTCTGCCCAAAAGGCATTCTGCACCACTGTCAACGTCCTCAGCTCGCAGCTCCCGCCGTCACTCAAGCTGCCACCTCCTCTTGCCTGGAGTGTTGCCATTTGGCAGTTGGCTGCCACATGGCCTCCAGCGTCCTGGCTGGTGGGCACACCAGAGCCGGAGTGATCTTCTTAATTGGTAAATTGGATGTTGCAGCTTCACTGTTTAAATCTTTTCAGTGGCTTCCCTTAGTACTTAGAAAAGAATGCAACTACTTCTGCTGGGCTTCATCCGCTCACACCCTTCCCCTCCACCCTCACTCTGGGTCATGCTCTGTCCCTGCCCACCGTGCCTCCACCACTCACCTTTCACACCCCAGCACCCGTAACCTCTGCCCCTTGATCGTGGCCTGGCTGGCTCCTCCACACTCGGTGTTCAGGACAAATTCCCCTGGCCTCAGAGAGGTCCCTACCCCATCTAGCCAGTCTCGCCCGGCCTTCTCTGTCTCTCATGTTTTATTTATGGCTCTTGTTGTTTGCCAACTTGTTTGTTGTTGGCTTTTAACGTTCTCAGTCCCCACTGGAAGGCAAGTGACCTCCCGGGCTCCTAGAATCCTTCCTGCCTCTTCACAGGCCCTTATGCTGTGTGTGCTGCTGGAGTGATTAGATGAGGGAGGGAGAGGGAACGGTGAGTCCTGCCTTGGGACTGTGGGGCGCTGGCCTTGGTCTCAGACCTGAGGTTCTGATTCACGGATTCCCCGTGACCTTGGACAGATCCTTTGTCCCAAAGCCTCAGTTTCCTTATCTGTAAATTGAGAATGATACGCGTGTGGCTAGGCTATGTGGAGAATCAAATAAGGTAATGATGTAGAAGTGGCAGATGGCCAACCTAGAGTGGAAGTTTGGTGAGTTTTCATTTCTTCCTTTCTTGTGGAGGTGTGGGAATATTCCCTGATCAAAGCAAAGGTCTCCCTCTCTTAATCATTTCCTGCCCCAGCCTTCAGAGTGAGCCTAATGCTACCACCGTGCCTGATGTTTATGATTTAACGGGCTTGACAGTTCCCTTGACATCCTAGAGTAGCCTGTACTTCTGTTGCTCCCGACCCGCCTGCTATATCCACACCTACCTGATGTACCTGCACACACCTGCTGTATCTGAACTAACTGTCTAGAAAAGACATCTATGTTTTCCTGATTGAAAGACAACTTTAATGGGGCAGGTTGAAGACTGGGTGATGGACAGGGCCAGGACCAGGGTGAGACAAGCAAGGTGCTAAGGTGCAAGTTTTAAGGAGGCCCCCCTTCACCTTCAGGCTTCTGCAATCCCAGGAGCAGCCCCCAAGAGTGAGTGCTGCCTTTAATCCTGCACTCTGGGCACCTCATGGCCTCACCCTCGTTCCAGCCCTCTTCATGGAAACTCATGTTTGGAAGGAGAACCACTTCCCACCCATTCTCAGACTCCTCCGGAGGGTTCCTGCCTTTGGAACACCAGAGGAAAGGGCCCACGGCGGCGTCAGTTCTGAGAGGACTGTTCCTGTCCTTTCCAGTGCTGGATGCCCTGCATGGAATGCTTGTGTCCTGCGAAACTCGTATATTGAAGTGGGATGGTATTGGGGGCGGGGGCTTTGGGAAGTCAGGGTTTTAGATGAGGTCATGGAGGTGCAGCCTCAGCAATGGGTTAGTGTCCTTATAAGAAGACGAGGAGACACCAGCAAGCTTGCTCTTTCCACCACGTGAGGACGGAGCAAGAAAATGGCCATCTGCAAGTAGGAAGAGAGCCCACACCAGGAACCAAAGCCGCTGGCACCTTCACCTCAGACTCCAGACGCCAGAATTGTGAGAAATGAATATCTAGTGTGTAAGCCATGCAGGGGTATTTTGTCATAGCAGCCAGAGCTGATTAAGGTACTGGCCCAAACCAGTCGCCCTGTAACCTCTACCTATTTCTCCTATGTCCCCCACCCCCGGCTCACAGGGAAGCAGTGTCCCCTTCTTCATGGCAAGCAGAGGGGATCCAATTCCTCTCCCACTTCTGTGGTCTCCAGGCCAGGCCTTACCATAGGGTGGGGAGGGAGGGGCACTGGAGAGACCCTGTGACCAGGAGAAGTTGTTCAGGGAAAGTTGTATGAACTGTCATTATCTATGCGTGAGCTCAGTCCAGGGACCCAGAAAGCAAGCCAACACTCACAGGGACTCAGGAGAGGTGGTCACAACCCAGAGTGTCAGCGCCACGTACACTGGTTGCAGGAGCTCTGCAGGGTTCCCCCAGTCTGCGCTGGGTTAGCCCTGTTCTCTGGCTTAACGGTTCCCTCTTGAAATGCAGATGTAGCTTTTGCACAAAAGGTGAGACCTGCTCTCACCGTAAGGCCATCCAGGCCTTGCTGCTGCTCCTTTAGAGCTGGATAATGGCCAATGGCTGTGATAACAACAATAGTTCCTAAGGCTTCTGTTCTGTTTCCTTTCTACGAAAGCTCTGGAAGCGAAGTTGTACTTTCTCATCCGGTGATGAGCGTATCGTTCTTCTGCAGGACAGAGAAGGAGGAGTGAGTTGTTCCATTTTACAGATGAGAAAATGCAGGCACAAATGGGCACTGCCTCCATCAGCAGGTGGCTCAGGCTGAGTCCAGGCTCCTGCCGGCATCCTCCTCTGTAAAAGGGGGTTGCTGGCTCCCGGGTGGTCACACACATTTCTACCCTGGCTTCTCTGACTTCGCTCCCTAATGGGTGCTGGCATTCTGTGTCTCGGGTGATGAAAGCCTAAACCACCTGCCTTGCCAGTGATAGCCAGCTCTCAGGATGACCCCTGCCCAGAGGAGATGGACGTGGGCCCTCCTGGGAGAATGGCAGCACCCACCGAGCAGCCCATTGTCACTTTTGATTTCACCAAATGAAGCACAGTGAAAATGAAGATGAACATCCTAATCCCACAATCACATTAGTGCCAGTTCGGAAGAGTCGCAGGCCCCCAAGTCCCAGCGCTCAGGCTCTTCACAGATGGTGCACAGAGCATGTTCCTTCTCTAGGTGACTGGGCTTGGTTGCCGTCCAAACAGGAACTTGTACTTCGTGGAAGGGCTGGCAGGGTCCATTTGGAGACTATTTTGAGATTCAGGGATTAGGTAAACGGCAATGAGAGCTGTTCAGATTTTCCAGCCTGACACAAATGAGGGAAACTGAGGCCCAGAGAGGTCAAGTGACTTACTCAAGATCACACAGCACAAAAGTAGGCCAACCCACTTCCCAAATCATGTGGGGTTCTTTTCCCTCTCAGTTTAGTAGATTTAGAAAGCGCCAAAGTTTAATTACAAATCTAACTATGGTACAAGTTTTTTTTTTAACACTTTGATTCAGTTAAAAAAAAATCACATTGGAGATCATTTTTAGATTTCATATCGCTGTTGGATCCTAATTTGGTCTAGTTCAAGTTTCTGGACCCAAAACAACAGGGTCTGCCTGGATTTCCTCGCTCCTCAGTTTGGCTTGTTCTGGGGAGGGATACAAAGGCCCATCCTTGGATGAGGAGAGGCCTCCCACATTGGCAAGCCCAATGTCCCACTCCTGGATGGCTGGGAGGGACGGGGCCATGCTGCCCGCAGTAAGACTGGGCATCGGCGACTCTTGGCAGGCGGAGGCTCCATCTGCCCTGCAGTCTCCTCATTTTCCTTCCTGTTGTGACTGCACCATCAGCATCTTAGGGTCTGCCTGTCTGTCTCCTGGGAGCCTGCAAGACATTCATATATCATCCCAAGTTATTGCAGCCTGTCACTGCTGAGGGAGCAGGTGGGGAGAGTGGCACGTGGACCCCAGGAAGTAGAAGGGCCTGAAGGAAGGGAACGGGGTAATCCAATGGGGACACTCCTAGAGTAGACTGTACCTGCACCCACCTGCTGTGCCTGAACCCACTGCCTAGGAAAAGGCCTCTCCGTGCTTTCCTGATTGGAACAGAGCTTGGATGGGGCAGGTTGAAGATTGAGTTATGGCCGGGCATGGTGGCACATGCCTGGAATCCCAGCTACTCAGGAGGCTGAGGCTTGAGAATTTCTTGAACCCGGGAGGCAGAGGTTGCAGCGAGCTGAGATTGCACCACTGCACTCAAGCCTGGGTGACAGAGCAAGACTACATCTCAAAAAAAAAAAAAAACTGAATTATGGAGACGGCAAGGACTAGGGTGAGAAAAGCAAGATGCCAGGGTACATTTTAAGGAAGCTCTCACTTTCAGGCTTTTGCAAGTGGAGAAGAAGAGCAATGTCTTACCTGTATCTGAGAAGCTGAAGGCAGATTAATCCCAGATTCTACTTCAATCCCTTCTGTCCCCACTGGCCACAGCAGAGGTGCAAAGGGGCAGCTGGTCACTGTGCTGTGATTATTGGCTCTGGCCCTTTGAAACTATTGGCACAATGCTTCCCTTTGGGATCTGCTGTTCTCCTGAAGGCGATGGTGGGGCTGGCACTCTCCGAAAGCCCTGTGAGGGCTGTGGATTCCTGACTCCTGGAGCTGGCCCTGAGCTATTCTATAAAGGAGGGAAAGAGGATTCTGATCATCTAGATTCTTCCCACACCTGTAAAATAAGATGAATACTGCCAGACCCACTGAATTGTTGCAGATTCAAATAAAACAATGTAAGGCTGGGCAACATAGCAAGACCCCATCTGTGTTAGGCCATTCTTGCATTGCTATGAAGAAATACCTGAGACTAGGTAATTTATTAAGAAAAGAAATTTAATTGGCTCAAAGCTCTACCAGCTGTACAGGAAGCATAATGTTGAGATGTGCTTCTGGGGAGGTCTTAGGAAGCTTACAGTCATGGTGGAAAGCCAAGGGGGAGTAGGCATCTCAGATGGTGGGAACAGGAGCAAGAGAGAGAAGGTGCCACACACTTTAAAAAAAAACAAATCTCGAGAGAATTCATTCTCTCAAGGACAGCACCAAGGAGGATGGTACTAAACCAGCGATCCCCAATCTTTCTGGCACCAGGGACCAGTTTCATGGAAGATAATTTTTCCACAAATTTGGAGGGAGGGTGGTTTCAGGATGATTCAAGAGAGTCATGTTGATTGGGCACTTTATTTCCACTCTTATTACATTGTAATATATAATGAAATAATCATACAACTCACCACAATGCAGAATCAGCGGGAGCCCTGAGCTTGTTTTCCTACAATGGTTCCATCTGGAGGTGATGGAGACAGTGACAGATCATCAGGCGCTGGATTCTCATAAGGAGTGTGCAGCCCAGATCCCCCACAAAAGGGTTCATGCTCCTATGGGAATCTAATGCTACAGCTGATCTGACCAGAGACGGAGCTCAGGTGGTAATGCTCGCTCACCTGCCACTCACCTCCTGCCATGCAGCTGGCTTCCTAACAGGCCACAGACCAGTACCTGTCCATGGCCTGAGGGTTGGGACCCCTGTGCTAAGAGGAGGCTCAGGTTTACTCATGAGGGATCCACCCCCATGATCCAGTCACCTCCCACCAGGCCCCACCCCCGGAGTGGGGACCACATTTCAACATGGGGTTTGGGCAAGGATACACATTCCAAGTATATCTCCATCTCCAAAAAAAAAAACAAAGAAAATTAGCCAGGCATGGTGGCACATGCCTGTGGTCCCAGCTACCGGGGAGGCTGAGGTGGGAGGATATCTTGAGCTCAAGCATTTGAGGCTGCAGTGAGCTGTAATCTTGCCGCTGCTCTTCAGCCAGGGCAACAGAATGAAACCCTGTCTCAAACAAAAGAAAAGAAAGATCAAATGTGGTAAGGCAAGTTTCCGCACATCACAAGGATGCTGAAGATAGGAGAGGTTCTGTGGTACTGACTCTATGTGCTTGGTGGGGGTTTATGACTACGCATACAGCGAGCTCACTCATGGATGATGTGGGTGGTAAGTGGGTCTCTTTCTACCCCAACTGGCTGCCTCCCAGGTCCTAACCCATTACCCAGTCCCTTCAGAGCAAGAATGTCACAGGGAACCCTGTAGGTGAACTTGGGCTCCCTTCCTGGCCTTTGAGGCAGCCCCTGAGGCAGGTGGGCTGAGGCCTGGGGTGGGGATGGGGGCTTTGGAAAAGCCTGGAGGGGGCAGGGGGCTGCAGGAGGTCATGCTGTGGACCTGTGCCATGTGTGCCCTTTATAGCTGGTTCTTCTCCTTCCCACTCCCCCACCCACTGGCTCACAATTTTCCCTGCTGATCCTGGCTTTTTCTCAGCCAGCTGGAGGAGGGCAAGGGGCTGGCTGTGGCTTCTGGGTTCTCCTGTGAACCCCACTCAGCCCCACCCTTCTGCAGGGGCCTTTTCTTGACCTGGCATGCCCATAACAGCTCTTGCCCCTGCACCCTCCTGGGCCTGGGCTTCCCCAGTCCGAGTTCAGACCAGGTCAGGAGGAAAGCCTCCTTCCTCCAGCAAGGCCACTGACGTGCAGCTAGGTGGTTCTGCCTGCCCAGCTTCACACCTGCTGTGCCTTCTCGGAAGAGGCACTAGCCTCCCAGATCCCCACTCCCAGGGGAAGACGAGCCTCTGGAGTGGAATAGAATGAGGGGCTGTGAGGTCATGAACCAGCCTTCCCATTTTGCAGGTGAAGACACTGAGGTCCAGGGACTTATGTAAGAGAGCAAGATGAAAAAGAAGCCGTGCATGTGAAATGGCCCAGTAGCCACTACTGTTATTTGGGACTAAAACCAAGATTCCCCCCACCCCCCATGCAGCTGCCGGTGGTGGTCTTCATCACCCCTCCCCAGGCTTCTTGCTGTTCATCTGCAAGCCTGTTCCCCTCTCTGAGCTGCAGCCTGGCTGTTACCTACATGTCACTCAGCGCCTTGTCCTATTCTGGTGTGTGTTCCCGAGTCACTGCTGTGGAGGCCTCCCTGCCACACAGACACACACACACACACACTTCTCTAGGTTTATTTTCTTCACATCCCTTGTGTCCCCAGCATGATTTTCCATGACTGTTTGCTCATTTGAACATTGCCTCTGCCTGGAAACCTGAGTTCCAAGGGCAGGGACCTGGGATGCTGTGGCCTCCAGACTTCCTGGGCACCTGCTACAAGGGACTGGCCCGGGACAGCAGCCCTGGGGTCGTGGATGGATGGGTGACTCTGTTTGGTGCTTGACAACTCAGAAAGCACCTGGAGACATCAGCGCGTGCTGCTGAGGTTCTGGGGCTCACAGTCCGTCCCAGATGGGAATCCCCACTCCCCATCCTTGCTGCGTGGCCTTGGGCAAAGAATTCACCATCTCTGCACCTCAGGGTTCTCATGTGCAGAAAAATGTAACAATAGTACCTGCTCAATGGGCAGTTGTGAGGGTTTGATAGGACAGCATCTGAGAAACTTCTAGCAAGCTGCTGGCCTTGGAAGGCATTTGACAGTTACTCCTGGATGACCTTGGGAGGTGACGGTTTGGCTGGCAAGCCGAGGGCCCGGTGCCTGCCAACCGGATCATATGTTCTCGTCATCTCAGGTTCTTTTCAGAATGTGCTGAGGGGTGAGCGAATGAATTATTAAGCATTCTCTGTCTAGGAGACTGGGTTTTCTGTTCTTGTCAGGGGTTTTTGGACTAAAACTGTTGTGGGGACACATCCCTTTCATTTGCACCTGCCGGAAGTCAAGAGAGAGTCTGACAAGAGACCTTTATCCCCACTTTATGGATGAGGTGGCTGAGGCTCAAGCTGCTGATGTGGTTCTTGCCGTCTCAGGGCTGGTCCATGGGAATGACAGGAAAGGCCTGGACCCATGATCCCTGCTACAGTCACGCCCCCACCAGCCCTGCCCGGGGTGGGCGTGCTCTGCTTCTAGCAGGCTCTGCAAGGAGCTAGTGCTCCCTTCTGAGCTTGGGCCTGCACCGCACTGGCTTTAGCAGGGCCCTAAAGGAGGCTGGGGGGTGGGAGCACAGAGGAGCCCTTGCACTATCCACTGTCCTGCTGGCCTGGGACAAGGTGGAGTCCCACCCCTGGCTGCTGGGAAGCTGCTCCTCTCTCTCCACTATGACCTTCTCTGGTCTCAGTGAACCCCACTTCCATGCATCCTGCCATGTGCCATGTGTGCATGAGTTCCTGGGCTGGGAAGGGTGGAGAGGCAAAGATGCCCAGATTCTGGCCTTAGCTTCCAGTTGCAGCCCTGTGGCTTTTTCATGCAGAGGAGCCAGGAGAGGCCATGTTGGAGGAGCTGCGACCCTGTGGACCCCTGAGTTGAGGTAGGCTGGGCTGGGAAAGGGTCTTGTGGCCTGTGGACGTGGGCTCCCGCTCCAGCTCAGAGATGCTGCTCAGACTTCACCTCCTCCTGGAGTCTTTGTCGCTCCCTGCACCCACTCACCGTGGGCTAGAAGTTCCCTCCTCTGCCCTCAGAGTCCCTCGTGTTTTGGGCACAGCATAGCCTGTAGGCACTGGTGCCTGACTCTGTGTCCTTGGATGAGGTGCTTAATAGTGCTTGCCTCCATTTCCCCTTTGTAAAATGGGGATAGCAGCAGTCGTGCTGCCTTCTGTCACATTCCCCTCTCAGAGCACTAACAGTGTCCCCTGCTAGCCTTGAGCACTGGCTCTATGCCTGGCACATGGGAGGCCTCTCTGCCCTCTTTTCAGGTGACTGTTCTAGGAACAGGTGCACCTCGCTGGCTATGGAGCAAGAGCACAGAGCCCCGGGGAGCTCCAGGCCCAGCTCTGTGCTGCAGGTGTCTACCTTGATCATAGGAGAGAATCAAAGACCACCTTGTGGGGACCCTAAGAAGGTAACGAGGAGAAGTCAACACAAATGTGTATGAGGAAGCCTGGGGGGAGAGAAGGCTGTACCGAAACAGAACTATGAAGAGCAGGCCCTGCTCTACTTACCGTTGGGCTGTGTCCTGATCAACCCATTGTAAGCTGAAAGTGCATTTAATGCCGGCCGCACTGCAGTGGTCCCCGACTTAGGATGGTTCAGCTTTTGATGTTTTGACTTCAAGATGGTGCCAAAGTGAGACGCATTCAGTAGCAACCAAGGCCCCATTGTGAGTCTTAGAAGCTCCTTGATTTACCATTAGTTGATGTCCCGATAAACCCACTGTAAAGTTGAGAGATCATAAGTCAAATCATCCTAAGTTGGGAGCATCTGTAACCTGAGCTCAAATCCCAGTGCTCTAGTTCTCCTGCTGGGTGACTTTGGGAAAGCCTTCACACCTGCCCAAGTCTTTCAGGGCCGCCCTGCCTCTCAGAACCTGGTCCACAGCCCTGCAGGGTGGCTGCTGATAGGGGGCCCATGATGGGCCTCCAAGGGCAGCTCTTCTCCCTGAAGGGCAGTTATGGAGTCCACTAAGCTGCCTCCAGGACTTGAGATGTGGAAGGGACTTTGAAACGATTGTTCCGCCCTTTATCTTAGGGAAGAGGAGGCCGTAAGTGGGAGTGGACGGGTGATTTGCCCCAGTGCCTAGAGCTGGCCTCTGCAAAAGCAGCCCCAGGACCCAGGCTGCTCCAGCCAGTGCTCGCCCTGCACTCCCTGGGTGTCTCCAGCAGCACGTGGAGACGTTGCCAGGAGAGGGCAGCGTGAGTATGAAGCTCACTCAGCGGAGACGTGGCCTTTGCTGCCCTATCCTGGGCCTGACTTTGGGGAGCCTTCTGAGAGGCTGCACCGCCCAGGGCAGGGCTGGGCATTGGCGGTCACCTGGCAATTTGGGCTCTAAGATGTGGAAATGTCACTGGCCACCCTGGCTGGTGCTATGCAAACTCCCCTAAACGCCATTTTCTATTTTGAGCCTGTTTCCCAGGGAGGCCCCAGGAAGCAACACAGATGAGTGTGTGTTCCCAGAATGGGGCTGGTGTACATGAATACAAGCAGGGCTTGATGAGCCACAGCCACATGCCAGGGTGGGAGGTGCTGGGCCTTCCCCATGAGAAAGCAGCCAGCAGGGGGGCGGTGGGTGCTATAGGAGGGGACAGACCAGGTCATGCAGGGAGGAGGGTGCTATAGCAGGGGACAGACCGGGTCCTGCAGGGTAGGGGTGCTAGAGGAAGGGGTAGACCAGGTCCTGCAGGGTAGGGGTGCTAGAGGAGGGGTAGACCGGGTCCTGCAGGGTGGGGGGTGCTAGAGGAGGGGTAGACCGGGTCCTGCAGGCTGGGGGTGCTAGAGGAGGGGTAGACCGGGTCCTGCAGGGTGGGGGGTGCTAGAGGAGGGGTAGACCGGGTCCTGCAGGGTGGGGGGTGCTAGAGGAGGGGTAGACCGGGTCCTGCAGGGTAGGGGTGCTAGAGGAGGGGTAGACCGGGTCCTGCAGGGTGGGGGGTGCTAGAGGAGGGGTAGACCGGGTCCTGCAGGGTGGCTGCTGAGTTGGAAAGATCTCTGGGCAGCCGAACAGGCCCTGCAAGGTCTGCAGAGTCACAGTAGTGCCAGGGCCTGAGAGCCCACCTGGTCTTCACCTCTTGTCTCACTCATAAGGAAACACAGGGGAAGGGCTTCCCCAGGCCACTCAGCAGCGCGGGGGTCTGCAGAACACAGCAGCCTTCTCAGCTGGCAGAGGCTTCCAGTGGATGTGGTGCTGGCATCTTCCATGAAACCAACAGCTGCATGGGATGAGGGTCAGCAGGACGCTAAGGGAGAGAGTCTGTCTGCTGGGTGGGGATGGACCTGAGCTCAAATCCCAGTGCTCTAGTTCTCTTGCTGTGTAACTTTGGGAAAGCTTCCAAACCTCTCTGAAGCCCAGCCTCTTCACCTGTAACTGGGACGCTGGTTTTACCTCACAGGGTTGTTGTGAGGCACCCGTGAGGTATGTTGGTGGCGCTTGGCCTACAAATGGCAGCCGCTGTTAGATCCTGAGTCCTCTTCTCTGAGGGGAAGGTGGCCATTCTGCTGTCACCCTCTCCCTAACCCACCCTGGACCTTGCACTTGGCTACATGACTTTGAAAGTGATTGCTTACCCAACCCCAGGCCTCACAGCCACTTCATCCTGGGAGGTAGGGAGCATTTGAGCCCAGGGCTGAGACTGCCCAGGAGTGCTCACACCTGTGTGATCACATCTCCAAAGCCTGCCTGGCTCCCAGAATGTGGGCAGAGCTGAGCAGAGTCCAGAGCAAAAGGATCCACAGTTCCCT